TATTCGCTGACGGGACGTTTCCAAATTAAGTGTCATTGCAATTTGTGCTACAGCAGCAGCAGGATCCGTATACAGCCAAGACAGTTATGTATATCGTATCTAACCAACGTAGATTACGTATACAACCAAAGAAATGTTACCACTGTGGCACCAAGGGATTTTTTCGTCTGAGGTAACTGAACCTATGATTAAAACATACAATGCACGTTTGTAAAGGTCGTAAATTTCAAACCTTCGAAAGAGTAAGAGTTTGATGTTTGTCTGCGAGTTTGTGTTGTATTTAATACCTTCTCAGCCAAGTCACTGAGTACAACATTGATATTTACACGTTTTGTGCATTTTTCTTGAACTTATTAGATTTCATCTCAGCATGGAAGGTACCTTCCATGATCTCAGTCAAGGTTGCAATGCGGACACTGATGTTAAAAGTGCTGTAATTGATTGGTTGCTAGGATTCAGCTGTCACCGACAAATATTTATAAAGATGAAAAGAATGCCTTTCAGCGGCCTTTGTTATTAGTGCATTGTTCAAAACGAAACACACTGACAACCACTGTTTTAAATAAATCTTCATATAACTGGTTTCTAACAACATCTCAAGTCAAATTGTAATTTCGAAAAAGTTACAGTAATTAATCAGCAAGGCTATTTTCCATTGGGAGACGCACCTAGTAATAGGACGTGGCAGACATAGCAATGCGACCTCGTTTTACAAGAAGGGACTCGAAGGTCAAACTACCGTGAGTTATGCGCACTTCATGGGCGATTGGACAATGAATATTTTATGAGCTAACTTAAACAGTTAAACTTTTCCCAAGACAGGAGAAGTCATTGCAGACAAGAAAACATTGGTGGCCTCAATTGTTTGCACCAAGGGCAAAGGTCAATGTAATCCTATTTTTAGTTCATAGAACAATCAAAATGAACATCACCATGTATTCAAATCTGTATGCTATTATATTACTGCTGTTTAATCCATTTTTTCATTCAAATACAATTCCATAGAAACGACCGATGTATTTATTTTATCATCGACTTCAAGCAATCTCGTTTTGGTACTTTTTTTTTATATTTTGACTGCATTTTGAACCTGATTTAAATCATTGAATATAAGCTAAACCATTCTCTATTCCTATCGTCAGTAGTGTGTTTGTATCAACGCTGTTAACAAGATTAATAACATTTGCTTGTTCCAAGGTGACAATGGTTTACTTGTCATTTACGGGGGGACCACCACAAACTAGGGCAACATTTGTGTTCAGTGCAGATTGTTTTGTGTACATGAAACTTGCTCTCCGGTGATACTGACTCGTATAACACGCGGCGCCTAACAAAGTACATTATTTCACAAAGCGAATGGACCATTATAACAATATCAATATTCAGCCAATCAAAAAAAATCTTTTTTTTTTGCATCCATGAATGCAAGGCACAGACGAAAAGTATTGTCGACCAATGATCTATTCCTAGTCCGTCCGTCCATCTGTCGACAACGGGCCCGATCATATTTTGGTACAAATCCGTGATGTTAATTGGGGAAAAATTGGATAAAAATCAAGTTCAAGTGAACAAAATTTAATAACATTATTATCACTAATTTTGTCAGCCCCATGTACTTAACTTGACATGACCTTGACCACACAAGGCTCGATTATTCTGTGCATACTAATTTAGTAATTATCTGTTTTACGTTCATTTATTCTGTTACAATGACGATTGGAACTTGCAAGTGCATATCAAATTGTGTATATAAACTAATTAACATTTAAAAATGAATCTTCATATCTTGAGAATAATTTTGAAAACATTTGTTTACGACGGAATTGTTTTTAATTTGCAAATAATCCACTGCAAATCCTGGATTTGATTGGTCGATAGGTCTAGCTGCGCGAAAAGCAATGAAAGTGTCTGTATAGGTGTCTATAAAGTCCATACAATGCGAGTGAAAGTCTCTATACATGTAATTCGATTAAAATTCTGCAACAGACGTGGGTGGCGACCCGTGGTAATTTTCGTCAATACTGCGTAAGAAAAAAATATTTGAACAAGTCACACCGAGGTGAAGAGGTTTGAAAATGGAGGACTTTGAATCTACTTAAAGACGGGTATCAGCACCGGCGTAACTGTTACATACAGGTTTAGCCCTGGAATCAGGTACCCGAGGGACAGAGTTAGGATTGGAGTTATGGGCGAGTGGTCTTAAGGAACTCTTGCCAATTGAATTTCGAGTTTGACGTAATTTGCTCGAGTATGGGAAATCGAAGTTAGTTGGTGCTCGTATGCGCATTCCATGTACTCTGAGAACCTGAATACTCCGTTGAACCCGAAGTATGCCGATGGCTTCAGACATACATTTTTAAATACATTAGCTCTTTGTCCTAACACATACGTGTATTACGACATTTTACATGATGGCCCAGGACTGTCGATTGAAAAATACACAAAAAACAAACCAATACATTACCAATCTACGAGACAGTGTCATTGTTTGCATTTTATGTATGCTCCTTGTAAGAATAACTAATGTGAAAGCAAATGTATGAGATCCTTATCGTTTTAAAATGCCGGGCGTGACTTGCTAATGAAAATGAGTGAAAACACGGAATGAGATTCGCACGACTCATAACAATTATGTGTTGAGATATATAACGCAATACACCAGTTTAGAGGTTAATGAGTGGATTTCGACACCGTTGTTAGTTACCACCGGGACGGTGGTTAACACAAACATGGACGTGCTTGGAGTTGCACGAGAAATGTTCAGCAACTTATCACGAAATCTCAATTCCGCGCGAACTTGTTGGAACTTTGTGAATATCAGCCGGGCGTTATGTGAATACCCTGCCCCGTGGTCATTATGTTCGACACAGCATATGAAATGTATACAGTGTGAATTTACGATAGTTATGCAACTTACCGTGCGCCGCAAATCAATGATAACTGACTTCACTGTCTTGCAGTTTGCACAGCGAGTGAAAAGGCACTGGCCTTGTGTTCACTAACAACCGCACCTGTATGAATAGGAACAAACCAAATTAACGCAGGTGTGCAGCCATTCAATTGACGGAGTAACAGTTGAACAATTAAAAAAAAGTGACGTGGAATACGTTGACCAAGTTCCATTTTGACCCGGCACAAAAAAATTGTTTCAGTCAACTTCAATTTGGGTTGGGAGCCCGAGTTCAGTAAATATCTGCTATACTCTAGGGTCCATGGCTATACAGGTGTTTTGTAATGGCGCACTTAGCCTCGATTTCAGATTAATATGCTTTGTTTTCGTCAAATCTTTGTAGAACTTAACACGTGCAAATAGTGTTCATTATATTTTACTTATTAAATTATGAACCCACTGATAATGAATATAGCTATTTTATGACAAAGCTTTTCTGTTTGTATTGAGTTGTTTTCTGGCATCCTCATAATACACATGTATACATCCTCATAATACACATGTATACATCCTCATAATACACATGTATACATCCTCATAATACACATGTGTACATCCTCATAATACACATGTATACATCCTCATAATACACATGTATACATCCTCATAATACACATGTATACATCCTCATAATACACATGTGTACATCCTCATAATACACATGTATACATCCTCATAATACACATGTATACATCCTCATAATACACATGTATACATCCTCATAATACACATGTATACATCCTCATAATACACATGTATACATCCTCATAATACACATGTATACATCCTCATAATACACATGTATACATCCTCATAATACACATGTATACATCCTCATAATACACATGTATACATCCTCATAATACACATGTGTACATCCTCATAATACACATGTATACATCCTCATAATACACATGTATGCATCCTCATAATACACATGTATACATCCTCATAATACACATGTATACATCCTCATAATACACATGTATACATCCTCATCGCTGGATCCAAAAGCTGGAAATAGATCACAAATTATTACAAGTGTTTTTAAATGCCTGGTTACCTCAACTAACTCTAATTCTGATCAACTCTCCCACCTCAATTTCACAATATCATTTCATATGGTAATATTCCCACCCTTATACTACATTTTAGTCTGAACGACAGCGCCAACTCAGGTTCAGTATCTTTTACACTAAATGACTACTATAAAATACTTTATTTTCGCTGGAGAAATAAATCAATGAATATAAAATCCAGCGATTTACCTTTGTCTTTGAAACATAAGTGTCAGTATGGTGTCTATGATCAGGACTCACGAAGGGTAGCTGGCACTGGCACACCGTTCAAGTTGACCCAAACCAAGTACGAATCTCGTCTGGCAAATCACGTGACATTCGACGTTATAACGTGATTGGTTTTAACTTTATGGCTTGCCAAAAAAGAAGTGCCAAACAGTCATGATGATATTTAACGTAGCGTACACGTGTTACCATGATTGTAGGAAAACACATTTGAATTTATATCGTCTATATTAACCGTCAAAGTTTATTAAAATACGCGGATAATATTTAAATCCGTCTCTAGCGTGAGAATACTTTTACCATGTAATTATGGTACACCTTCCTGAATTCAATTAGTCATTTGTTTTTTAAATTGGATATATGTACATATTTCTAAAACGGCGCAACACGATGGTATTCAAGCTTTAACTCGTCACCAGATTGTCCGTGGCTCACTCAAATTAAAAAAAAAAAATACATCTCATCACATGTTCAACACGCATCGTTCTTATATAATGTTATCCTCTATAATATTTTGTAGTCGGGGTTGGCAGCCCGACCAGAGAACAAAGTTGGCGGTTTAGTTCGCAACCCACGCCATTTGTATTTAGGTCGAGCATAAAATAAATGCTTCGGGTCGATTCATCCGGGTACTGTGAACTCCACATTGCAAGCGTGGGCAGTGGAGTAAAAGTTCTCACGTCTACGTTCATTCATAAAACATACACAATGCATTGGAATGTCAACCATAGGTGTTAAGATTGAAAAGACAGGGGTAACAACATTATGGGAAAGTTAACACATACTGCCATAGACAATTAATTGAATGCTGGTTACAAGGGACACACTAGATAGTTGACACTGTCCCTTTCCCGAAAAACAGTGATTATGATTTTCCAGATGATCGACTCTGACACACTTCCCCTGACTAGCAACCAAACTATTTTCATTGATAAATCCCAAATTGCGACCTTGTTTAAATCGAGGTGGTATTTGTTCTACTACATTAGCACTAATTCACAAAATGTAATACACATGGCTGTCTGAGTATCAGCAGAATGAATTGACGTTGAGTGACAAGCATGAGAATGAGGTGTCCTGCCAGAAGCACTGTGCCATCCGTAGATATAACTCACAGGGATCGTAGCCGACACAGGTCCGTTCCTTGTGTGTTTCATCATCATTACAGCCTTGAGTGAAAATTACCACATCCAAAGTTACACTGAATGAAGTACAATTGTTTTTTTTTTCATCTTACAGAAGTTTAAATGACTCAGGGCACCAATTTAGTCACATTTTAGGGTACAGGCTGGTAAATATATTGTTACCGGGAGGTGTTGTTGGTAATGCCAGCAGCTCAGCCATTATATGTGTACGAATCATATGTCATGAAGTAGACTTGTATGCGATTTCGAGGAAAAATTCTTGAAAAATAAATATAAATTACGTAAACGCGAAAGTCATGTAACCGCGAAACAGACCGAAAGCAGGTCTAGTAATGAAGACAAAATTGGGATTTGTTTTTTGTTAAGACACGCAAGTACATAATGTTATCGGGTGGTCAAGTTCTGTCAATTCATGGTGGTTTTCAGTTCCATGTTACTTCCGACCTTTAACCAGTATGACCCCGATCCCACAAATCTTAGTCTCTTCAACCTTGATATTATTATTATGCAAAGTTGTATAAGGATAATATCGTGCTTCCCTTAAAAGTTACTAAAATAAATTTCTCTCAATCATGTATGGCTTTCTTTTAACATGGAAGGTAATAGGTCCTACTCCCCTCGTAACCTCAGACTACTGCTTTACTGTAGTCCGAGTTTTAACCACTTGCAGGTCCGTATTTTGTTCCCGGGAGGTGTTTGGTACGACCCATTGTTACGGCCAAAAGTAGTCCGATGTGAGTGGGGAAAATACATGCCCAAAACTGCACTGTAAAACCATTTATTTTCGCTGGCATTTAATGTCAGTATAACGACGTGTTCACCAGTTTTACTGCGTTTTAACTACACGAACTTACCAGAGAATCAATGCGTTCCTATTGTTATTCCACACATTCACGCGGATTTACAAATTTCACCAACTTTGAATCGACGAAAATATCAGCGAAATAAAAACCAACAAGTAATGCATATACAGCACGTTGTGTAGCTGATGTGAAGAAAGTGTAAATATCCTATGAACCAGAGACAATAAATCAAACATATTTTCGTAGTCATGGTACGTACCTTTGAATTTAGTATTGTGTCTTGTCTTGCGTCCCTTGCCGAGTGGAGTCGCCTCCGTGTAAACAAAGCGGGAGTCTACCAGGGTTGTAAAAATTTGCCATTTTTATATATCGAAAGTGTTAACTGTTTAATTTCAGACTAGTAATACTATTACTAGTCTGAGGTTTAACCAATGGGTGTATTACATTACATACGTCGTCATGACTACACATGGACTCCGTGACTAAGAGCGTCGTCTCGTGGCATCATCATTACGACACCAATACAATTTCAAGTGCGAAAGTTGTCCCATTCCAATAACAAAGTGTTTTTTTTTTTTACATTCACAAACTTTACCAATATATTTTTTACCCGTTTTGCCAATTTTAAACCCAAAATTTATTCTTATAATGTGATATTAAGTTATGGAATATATTTTACTATAATGCGATATCACGTGATACGAATGTCTAGTACAATAACAAGCGTAAGGACTACTCAATTGTTCAAAGTTTAACACATGTTTTATAGCGTTGTATACGTACTCAGGATATTACTATACTTGCAAACTATTGACAAGTTTGTGAATATTTTGCACAGGGGACTCTTAATTCGCAGATATACAGAAATATTGTTATCTGTATTCAGAGAAAACAAATAAAATCACAACTTTCGACAATTTTTCATGGCGATGGAAAGATGAATATCTTATCGGACAATTTACGTTGTTACATTTTATCCAATATTATATTTATAGGCTATGCTTCAGTCGGGGAATGGAATGCTTGGAATAATTTACGACTTCAAGTTGCATATATATTGAAAAGAGGATCACAATTGTTGTGGATCACCACAGTAATTGAATATTATTTGTTTTGTAAATATTTAAACAGATTGAAATTCATCAAAAGGAAGAAATTCTCTACTACGATGCCCCTATTCACTGCTCTTTAAAATTACAAATTAACTGTAAACCGACTCAAACAGCTAACCAATACACGATTGTACGTCTTTCTATGCGTGATTATGAAAAGATTGCACATTATTCCATTCGTTGTGCAAGTCAGTCCCCGGTCAAATCTGAATATAATGCGAATTATTTTTATACAGCGCCACCAACCGTCGAGAAGTATGTAACACTGCAAGAACTCCCTAGACTGTTTTTCCTAAGTCCGCGGTTCCGCCACCATGTGTACATTCAACATACGGATTATATGTGGCATGTGTGTAACACATGAATATATGAACTAGCACATGTGATAATACTCAGTAATTACATATGACATATGGATTCCATTGTTGATGTTTTATGTGTGTATTTATAATGTCTATATTTACTAAGCTAGCGGGTCCTCACACTTGTCGATAACAAACAACCCCAAACTTAGGGGCAAGAACAACGCCTGACGTCGATAGAGGCGTTCTTCAGAGTGCAATTCTCGTACTGAAGGTAAGTTAACAGGACAACATCGTGAATTGTGATCCAGGCAAGAGTTGCTAGCTCACAGCTTACGGTTGGGGATGAACTGTGTTTAAAGTTGTTGATCTAAAGCTGATCTCTCTTGTCGCAATGTCCGGATCACGTGACACACGTTGTATGATACTGTAAGTTCCTGTCTTCTCAGTACCGTTTGCTATGTCACGATGTTATGCTCAGTGTCGCTCTACTATTTCACCCATTCGTGTACCCCCAATTCAGGTTAATCTTTGCTAATCACAACAATTAACATTCACCCATTCGGCAAACGGGTGCGAGATAGGCATTGTCACGGATAATTTCTAAAATAAGGGAATACAACTTTGACATCTATATATAGTGTTATATGATGAGGATCTTGAGAGTTCCATGTGCACGTCAATCAAACGTATTTTAACCAATTACGTCACAGAATTCAATGGACACTTGGAAATGTTTGATTGTGGGGTGAGCAAGATTGTTGTCTTATATACTATGAGGTTATTACGAGGATACTGCAAAGTATGCACAAAGACAGTACAGTACAGTGGGAGTATCAATGGACACACAGGTTGATGAGGCCGCGTACTGTCAGAGTGCATACTTTGCAGTATCCTCATAATAACCTTATTATTATACATCTTTTCCTCCCAGGGATACATCATGGGAATGACGAAATCCACAACGTTTAGAACAGATTTAGTGAACTTCTTTGTGTCATACTGTTTTTGTTAATAGATGACGCTTATGCACAAAATCGTTCCATATTTAGAATTCACGTTTCCTATTATGGTAGGACTAAAATACCCCGTGCAATACCACAAAATTATGGCACACTGTAACTTATCGCATTATGGTAACTGATGTATAATAGAATATGTTATTATGCAAGGTTGTACTTGTGATTTTGTAAGTGTCTCACAGATTACATATCTCTTCGTTAATTTATTTGAGTTTTTTATCACATATCACACCACTTACATAGCCTTCTCTTATAAAGCTTTGGTATTATCAATAATCTGCTTCTACAAATCCATTAGTAATATTCATGTGTCTTCATATTTGCGAGCAAAGTGCGATGACATTATTGAATAAGGATGTCTCCGTCTGTTGTCCCACTTCCAGTGTTAATCGTCTCAAAAGCATAGGGGAACTAGTTTGTATTTGCTGGACAGTCATTGTTGACATATTAATTGCCACCTGACAACCAACCAAAATTTATCTGATAATGAAACTTACTATGTATGTTGATCGTTTTTACATTCAGGTAGCCAAATCTTTAAAATGTAAATTTAACAAAAATCGCTGATGCTGTATTTTTCATATTTACTACATTTATAATCTCTTAAAAAAACGTGAAGCAATCTGATACTGCATACTGAGTAGTACTATTTAATTTGATTGATCATTTTGATGTCAGAATTAAAACTAATTTGCATATCAATAGATGAATAGTGGAATTAATGTTTTGATTATTAGAATGGTAAGGAGGTTTTTTTGTGACCGCTTTGTGAACGCTTTGACATTCAGTAAATTGTAGTTGATTGGTACTGTAAAACCTGTATTGGAAACCACGGCTTCTATTAAAATGGTACAATGCAACGAAGGGGATGTGGCTTTTATGAGAGCATGTACACATATGAGAAATCATGAATTTTTGCTTTTCAATTATTCAAAAAGAATAGGTGCGACTTCTATTATGGATGTGGCTTCTAATACAGATTTTACTGTATTAAAGCATCTAAAAAAGTTATAAATTATTTCTTATTTGACAGTGGAATTTATTAATTATTTAAAATATATGCAAATATTCAAATTTTACACTTCATAACATTACAGATCATCAATTTTGACCATTGTTTTAAAGCATGGTATTCGTCGTGCATTTGTGTTGACTCCTTCGATGCCTTCCATAACATGAAAATTACTTAATTAAAGCTTGGAAACGTCTCAGTTCGTACTCACCATCTTTGTTTATATGAGACCCATATATCTCGCACATGCGCAGTGCAAAGACTACAGCGCTTTAAGTATGTTTTATTTATGCCAAAATGTTGCCGATTCTCTTGTAATTATAGTGTCGTTGAGTTTGTTTATTCATCATTTATTTAACTTTATATATCTGACTGAGTCTGTCAAAAGTGGTTTTTTAGTCCCCATTCGGACTGACTTATGTTTTGACCTCTGTGCATCCGTGCGTCCGAACCTGTATCTTAGAAATGCCTGGACCAATCACAATCAAACTTCATACGTACATCATACATGATATTATCCATATGCACGTTAATTTGTTTCACGATCTGATTCAAGATGGCCTAATAGCAGCCATTTTTGTGCTAAAAATCATCAAAATCAAGCATTTTTTGGCTGTGATGGATTTTGTTCAAAATTGGTATATACGTTAGACATTATGGGTTCCTGATGCATGTCATTATATTTCTCAGATCGGATTTAAAATGGCCGACTTAAATTCGATAACTAACAAGGACTGTGCCATGCATGGCTTGATTTTTTTTTGATTTATTGATTATTAACATGATATACCTTACTTTTCATGTGTTTGACAAAAGACAAATAAAATGATTTAGTGTGGTATGACCAGGAGTTCGCGTGCCATTATTGTTTTATTTGTTAGTCTTCTGTCTACATCTCATGTAGTCCAACATTAGAATCGAAGACAGTTTACAAATTTAAACAATTTTGAATTTTGCCGTCTTAAATCATAACTAAACTGACAAAATCACATGACTTCACATTTGATTTCCCATGGATAAATGAACATTGCGTTGCAAAGATAACATAAACTTTACATTGAATGTGTTCCAGATTCTTTCATCACAATCACAAACTTTTCTTTGGACATAGCTGCAGTTTAGCGAGTGTCAGAAATGAAAACCATAAAACATTTCTTGTAGATATTTTATTTTTTAAATAAATTATTCAAAAATGTATGAACAACTGAAATCATTCTTTTTTATGAAAAATTAAATAGTGTATACAAATTAATGTTTTTCACTTTTCTTTAATTGCCAGGAAAGACTGCACCACACCGTGTCTGCGTATACCTCCGCCAACATGTTTGCGTTGAAATCGAACTTGGAAAAGGAAAGATTAGCAGCTCCGATTGCTGCCGAAGAGAAAGAATTTGATGATGATTCGTTATCGTCCAATGAGTTTACGGCTCAATCAATGTATGGCGATTCATTCTCTGTATTATGTGAACTGTTTGAAGCACAACAGCTTTGTGATATCCACCTTCGTATAGGGAAAAAATCCATTAAGTGTCATCGAATAATTTTAGCGAGTGCTAGTCCATACTTCCGGGCAATGTTGACACTAGAGATGTCGGAAAGTAAGCAGGATGTCATCACTATCCGTGACATTGATGAGCAGGCCATGCATGCCTTAGTCAAGTTTATGTATACATCAAAAATTAAGTTGACAACCGAAAACGTTCAACCACTGTTGTATGCGTCTTCGATATTACAAATGGAAACTGTTGCAAGAGCGTGCTGTGAGTTCATGAAAAATCATTTACATCCATCTAATGTGCTCGGTGTGCGTAATTTTGCAGAGCTGCATGGCAGATCGGCTCTGGTAAAAGCGGCTGACAAGTATACGTATGACAATTTCATCGAAGTGACTGAATGTGACGAGTATTTGCATATTAGTGCACGCCATCTTGGATTGTTACTGACATCGTCGGATCTGAAGGTAACCAATGAAGAAGAAGTTTACAATGCATCTATTAAGTGGGTTTCGTATATCCCGGAAAAGAGACAAAAGCATTTACCTGATTTGATGTCTAAAATACGTCTACCGATGTTATCACCAGAATTTCTGATGAATGTCGTAGAGAAAGAAGACATGATAAAAAAGAACCACACTTGTAGAGACTACGTGGATGAAGCCAAGAATTATCATTTGTCTGTTGCTTCTGTTCATCCAAAGACAACCCCACAACATAGATTCTCGTTAAGAAGTAAACCAAGGAAAAGCACTGCAGGTAAGCATGCATAATATTTGCAGGTTTTTACTTCTAGTTAGGTACTATCAGGTAAGCATGCCAATATTGTTGACTGTGGTCATGCCTATACATTTGGAAGAGATCGTGCCAATAACTTGTAGGCTCATACAAATGAACGAATTGAGGTCATACGAATATTTGTTGGCAGCGGTCATATGAATATTTGTTCGCCCAGGTCATGCCATTATTTGTTGGCCGAGGTCATGCCAATATTTGTTGACTGGGGTCATGCTAATATTTTTTGACTGAGGGCATGCCAATATTTGTTGACTAGGGCATATGAATATTTGTTGGCTGAGGTCATGCCAATATTTGTTGGCCAAGGTCATGCCTGTATTTGTTGGCCAAGGTCATGCCTGTATTTGTTGGCCAAGGTCATGCCAATATTTGTTGATCAAGGTCATGCCAATATTTGTTGACTAGGGCATATGAATATTTGTTGGCTAGGGCATATGAATATGTGTTGACCGGGGTCATGCGAATATGTGTTGACCGGGGTCATGCGAATATGTGTTGACCGGGGTCATGCCCATAATTTGTTGGCCGAGGTCATGCCAATATTGTTGACTGAGTTCATGCCAATATTTGTTGACTGAGTTCATGCCAATATTTGTTGACTGGAGTCATGCTAATATTTTTTGACCAAGGGCATGCCAATATTTTTTGACCGAGGGCATGCCAATATTGTTGACTGGAGTCATGCTAATATTTTTTGACCGAGGGCATGCCAATATTTTTTGGCCGAGGGCATGCCAATATTGTTGACTGGAGTCATGCTAATATTTTTTGACCGAGGGCATGCCAATATTTGTTGACTTAGGTCATGCCAATATTTTTTGACCGAGGGCATGCCAATATTGTTGACTGAGTTCATGCCAATATTTGTTGACTGGAGTCATGCCAATATTTGTTGACTTAGGTCATGCCAGTATTTGTTGATCAAGGTCATACAAATATTTGTTGGCTGAGGTCATGTGAATATGTGTTGACCGAGATCATGCGAATATGTGTTGACCGGGGTCATGCGAATATGTGTTGACCGGGGTCATGCGAATATGTGTTGACCGGGGTCATGCGAATATGTGTTGACCGGGGTCATGCCCATAATTTGTTGGCCGAGGTCATGCCAATATTGTTGACTGAGTTCATGCCAATATTTGTTGACTGAGTTCATGCCAATATTTGTTGACTGGAGTCATGCTAATATTTTTTGACCAAGGGCATGCCAATATTTTTTGACCGAGGGCATGCCAATATTGTTGACTGAGTTCATGCCAATATTTGTTGACTGGAGTCATGCTAATATTTTTTGACCGAGGGCATGCCAATATTTTTTGGCCGAGGGCATGCCAATATTGTTGACTGGAGTCATGCTAATATTTTTTGACCGAGGGCATGCCAATATTTGTTGACTTAGGTCATGCCAATATTTTTTGACCGAGGGCATGCCAATATTGTTGACTGAGTTCATGCCAATATTTGTTGACTGGAGTCATGCCAATATTTGTTGACTTAGGTCATGCCAGTATTTGTTGATCAAGGTCATACAAATATTTGTTGGCTGAGGTCATGTGAATATGTGTTGACCGAGATCATGCGAATATGTGTTGACCGGGGTCATGCGAATATGTGTTGACCGGGGTCATGCGAATATGTGTTGACCGAGGTCATGCGAATATGTGTTGACTGGGATCATGCCCATAATTTGTTGGCCGAGGTCATGCCAATATTGTTGACTGAGTTCATGCCAATATTTGTTGACTGAGTTCATGCCAATATTTGTTGACTGGAGTCATGCTAATATTTTTTGACCAAGGGCATGCCAATATTTTTTGACCGAGGGCATGCCAATATTGTTGACTGAGTTCATGCCAATATTTGTTGACTGGAGTCATGCTAATATTTTTTGACCGAGGGCATGCCAATATTTTTTGGCCGAGGGCATGCCAATATTGTTGACTGAGTTCATGCCAATATTTGTTGACTGGAGTCATGCTAATATTTTTTGACCGAGGGCATGCCAATATTTGTTGACTTAGGTCATGCCAATATTTTTTGACCGAGGGCATGCCAATATTGTTGACTGAGTTCATGCCAATATTTGTTGACTGGAGTCATGCCAATATTTGTTGACTTAGGTCATGCCAGTATTTGTTGATCAAGGTCATACAAATATTTGTTGGCTGAGGTCATGTGAATATGTGTTGACCGAGGTCATGCGAATATGTGTTGACCGGGGTCATGCGAATATGTGTTGACCGGGGTCATGCGAATATGTGTTGACCGAGGTCATGCGAATATGTGTTGACTGGGGTCATGCCCATAATTTGTTGGCCGAGATCATGACAGTATTTGTTGGCCGAGATCATGACAGTATTTGTTGGCCGAGGTCATGGCATTATTTAATTTTCACATTAGGTGGTTCACATTGGGAAATAAGGCAGGCTATAGGCTTACTCAAATTTTAGGTTTTATTAAATTTCGTGTGTGAACACAAACCTAAATATTTAGGCCGGCCAAAATAAGTCATGCATGGGAAGAGGTGCCAGAGCTGGCCTTACTACAATCTGAACAAGCACAAGATTATACATGTATTATCACCAGAATCGCAAATCACCTGATTTGTGATGAATAGTGATTGTGAGCTTTCTTGTGCAGTCTCAAAACCTTTTTACAAACGTAACAATAGTGGCTGTGAGTGTGAGAGAAGTTCATTTGAAGTCAAACAAATTGTATTGATTGTTATACGGTCAGAAGACCAAATTCAACACAAAAAGACATGAAAAGATCACAGCTCAGTTAGGAGATACTGAAATAGAAAGAATGGCAGTGAAAAGAACGTTGAGACTTATGTGAGCAGATTCATAGTGATAGTTGACAACATCAATCGTAGTCTCAGAAAGAGAAAATCTTTTGATTTTTTTCCTCATGTCCTCAAAACTATTTGTGTCTCGCCATTGTTGCTGAGTCTCAGTCACCATTTTATTCTTATCTTAAATCAAATTAAACAGTTCACTTGTGTTCACTCCACCCGCCATCCATCTATCAAATTACTTTGGAGAACTGAAGGATGATTTAATATACCACTCGGATGATGTGAACTACGTCTCCATCAAGAATACAGAAAAACTTAGAAGACAAACAACATGTTGAGGTCTCTATGTTAGATATATTTCTGACTTTACAAATCTGCATTGCAAAGAAAAGGCTGGGCTTAAATAATGAGGTTTGACTATATGAAAGCGAACTAAATTTTAACCTTGTTTATTCAACAAACAGATTTGGGCTGGCCTTAGATACGCTAAATTTAAAACACAATTATTGTACATTTAACCTTGGCAATTTAACACACCCGTGTACCTTACTCATTCTTTGTTCATGTTAATATGAGGAATGACAATGATATTGATGCTCTGTTGGAAAACTAAGTTGATTTTTATGTTTTTTACGTGAAATGTGTATTACAAAAGACTACTACATTTGTATCTGCCCTATCTTGTACAAGGTGTAGAGTTGAAATCGATTTGAATGATGTTGAACATTCAACATCATTTGATGTAATTTGAAAATTAGGATTGTCTAGTTGCTGAGCTTTCCCATAGGTCTACTGGAAAATGTGATGGACTCTAACAATTTATTTCTAGTTAAAGTCACCATTTAACCTTTAGCATATTGACTTGTGCTATGCATCGACCGCCCCCTGTAGAGACACATGCAATGTCTGCTTGATATAATTATTCTTTCTATTTGTCCTTTTCCTTCCTAATATTTTAAGTCTTCTAATCTATGGAAATTAAATCTCAATCACACTGTTGTTTTGTTTAGATTCAAACATATCATTATCCGTAGGGAATGTCATTGAGCGAATATACTACATGTATATATAAATGTCTTTATCCACCTTAGAGCATTTCATTGCCTGCAGAGTGACGGTTTCTATATGTACATGTCTTAGTACATGTCTTGTAGTTAACTCTGCTTAGATTGAGTAAGATGGTCTCAAGACAGTTAACTTCTTAGTACTGGTTTTAGCAAGTTCACTGAAAAGTAGAAGATGTTTCGATTATTTCCTATAATCTAACAATAAACAATTTTGTATCATTTTCTTGTAACCTGTTCGCTATTCCCTCAAATCAATTGAAATTTAGTACATCTTTTGCTCACTTGAATAACTGATAATAATTCCTGTTTAATATGTGCATATTAATTAGCTTATTTGCATACTACTTAACTACCTTCTTTTTATTTGTATTCTAAAATTTTTTGCTCAAATCAATTTAATCTTAGTAAATGTAATGTGCATGTCTCAAGGTAGTTGATTGCCTTATGCTGTACAACAATTTTTCTTGAATGAAAAACTGTCTGAAAATTTGACAGGTTTGGAACTATTTCTATAAAAATTTATGTTTTAAAGCATTATTACAAAAGAGCTAAATAGTATTCATCGGGATTTCCCATTATTAATTTAGACAGCCTTTATCGTCTTGTATACTATTTTCGCACAATTTATAAATATGAGAAAACCCTTTCATCATATATTGTAGGTTCCATTCTTGAATGTCTAAAAAGTTGCCATTTTGATGAATGTTTGACAACTTTTTTAGCTCCGCTGTTGACAAAGTCGACACAACGGAGCTGTTCATATTACTGATTGTCCGTCGTTGTCGTCAGCGTCAACTTTACAATTTCAACTTCTTCATCGAAACCGCAAGTCAGAATGTTTTCAAATTTGATATGCAAGTACCTTGGGTGGTTTTTTTCTCAGATTTGTTCATTTCATGTCAAAATCTCAAATTCTTTATTTTTGGTGAATATTTTTGTCATTTTTGGTAAAAAAATTGATATTTTCGACTTCTTGTAAAAAACTGCAAGTCCGATTGCTTTGATATTACATATATAGGTACTACATGTGGACCTCTTTTAGATTTGTTCATTTTGTGATGATATCTTTAATTCTCTAATTTTGATAAATATTTTTGTAATTTTTGGTAAAAAACGATATTTTTTACTTCGATTGCTTCGATACTATACATAGTTCTGTTCTTTAAGTGCAATGTGCATTACTAACAGCGGAGCCGACAGGCTGCTTGTTTTTGTTTAAAAAGTAGTTTGGGGACCATACTTTTTACCAGGATTTTATGAGCAATAGTAACAAATAAAGCCGTATGGTATAAATCAGTAAGTTTTATTGGTACCAAACTAGCTTATTATCTGGGTTTTAGTTCTACATATTTCACTGATAGATAAATGCAATAAAATGAGTTCAGTGAATATACATTTAACAATAGGATGTATGTTTCCTTCACAAACCGATAAAATTAATTAAACTCGCCGTCCCCTTCTACAGTTGGTTGCATATTAATTTGCAACCACACAATCATGCTACTGTGTTCATCTGTTCATACAATGATTCCTAATGCCATACATGGGTGAAGTAATCAATTACATGTAACTGTATTTAAGTCTGGTTTTATGTGTCTATTATGTGTATAATGTTATAATCAATCAAAGTTCTCATAAACCTTTTATGGCGACAGCTTAGCATTCATTGTCCTAGTATTTTCGTTCAGCTTCTATTTACAAAGCTATAAATATTTGTTGTATACTGTAGTGAGTTATTATATACATGTACTTTTGGAGTGTATTAATTTAAAGGGTGGTGGTCATTGCACTGCACATGTGTGAAGTTTGTGTTGATAAACATTGATTTTCCAACAATTCAATGCACTCTTCTAATGAAAATCACAAGTATGATATTTGACCTGGGTGCAATGTGCAATAATTACGCCGGGGACTAAGTCGATACCCTCCATTCACCAAAGAAATTATCTAGTTAAAGCTTGGTAACGTCTCAATTTGTACTCAACAGCCAAACTTGTCATCTTTGTTTATGCGAGTCCCATATCTCGCGCATACATGTACATCACACGATGAACACTGGCCTGTAAATCTCTTTTGTGATTTGGATGGTAGCAAATGGTAGTGTTTTATCTGTTCACCAAGTAAACCTTTCCACAATTAAACAATTCACCAATGTGCAATGTCTTCGCAATGTTTTATGTTCTAAATACATTTCATACTGCGGTATATTTCAGTGTTGACTACAAAGTTACATTCCTGGTTTATATTATATCCAGAACACCTCCCTAATTATTTTAATCACAATGACGAAGTCCGAAAACGGGACTTATAATTTGGTCTCCGTCTGACCGTACATCCGCCCGTTCAGAGTCATATTTAAGAATCCTTCGGACAGATTTCGTTCAATCTTTGCATGTGCCTAGTACTTTATGTGGGACTAATGCACACGACTGGCAGCCATCTTGATTTTTGAAAATGTTGTATTTTGGACATGCTTTGTCAGTTTTCATTCAAGTTTGGTACATAGATTATACATGTTAGGATACATGTGCTCCGACCATCTGTGCGTCTGTCTGTCTGTGCGCCCGTCCGTTTGGAGTCATATTTCAAAATCCTTTCTCCCGATTCTGTTCATTCTTTGCATGTACCTAGTACTTTATGTGAGACATATGCACATGCAGTGGTTTAGTGATTCGATTCAAAATGTCCGACTGGCAGCCATCTTGTTTTTTGAAAATGTTGTATTTTGGACATGCTTTGTAAATTTTCACTCAAACTTTGTACATAGATTATACATGATAAGGTACATATCCATGACAATTTCTTTTGCAATTGGATCAAAGTTGGCTGACTATACGGCATCTTGTTTATTTTAGCTCCGCTGTAGACTTTGTCGAGCGGAGCTTATATGAGTGATTTTCTGTCTACGTCGTCCGTGTCAATGTTTTACTTTTTCGACTTCTTCTTGAAAACTACAGGCCTGAATGCTTTGATACTTGGTGTATATGTACCTTGGGTAGACCTCTCTTAGGTTTGTTCATTTCATAATGATATCTTCAATTCTCTAATTTTGGTGAATATTTTTGTAATTTTTGGTAAAAAGTGATATTTTCGACTTCTTGTTAAAAACCAAAAAAGTTAAATTGCTTTGATATTACATATATAGATACTACATGTAGACCTTTCTCAGATTTGTTCATTTTGTGATGATATCTTCAATTCTCTAATTTTGGTGAATATTTTTGTAATTTTTGGTAAAAAAGTGATATTTTCAACTTCTTGTTAAAAACTGTAAGTCCGATTGCTTTGATACTATACATATTGTTCATTTTCTAATGATGTCTTAAGTTCTTTAATTGAAATGTGCATTGCTAACAGCGGAGCTATCTCAGCCGATAGGCTGCTTGTTGGCCTTACTCGGTACTATATTTCCAATATTTATGTACCATTTTCACCAGTTTCATAATCAAATCAAAGATGGCTGAATAACGGCTGTTTTTATTTTTGGCCATATTACTATACACTGTATCTCTGTCACCCATTTTCATTTTTATTGATATTTAACATGTCATAAATGGATACATGTACATGTTAATTCAATTTGCAATTTGATAAAATATGGCAGATTGGCGGCCATCTTGTTTGTTAGCTCCGCTGTCGACTTTGTCGAGCGGAGCTTATCATATGAGTGATTGTCAGTCGTCGTCCGGCGTCTGTCGTCCGTGTCAATATTTAACTTTTTCGACTTCTTCTTGAAAACTACAAGCATGAATGCTTTGATACTTGGTGTATATGTACCTTGGGTAGACCTCTCTCATATTTGTTAATTTTGTAATGATATCTTTAATTCTCTAATTTTGGTGAATATTTTTGTCATTTTTGGTAGAAAGTGATATTTTCAACTTCTTGTTAAAAACCGCAAGTCCAATTGCTTTGATATTACATATATAGGTACTACATGTGGACCTCTCTCAGTTTTTTTCATATTGTAATGATATCTTTAATTCTCTAGTTTTGGTGAATATTTTTGTCATTTTTGGTAAAAAGTGATATTTTCAACTTCTTGTTGAAAACCGCAAGTCTGATTGTTTTGATACTATACATATTGTTTATTTTCTAATGATATCTTCAGTTCTTTAATTGAATTCCCAAGCCCTTGTGATGCTTACAGGGGTCAGCGAGAGTTTTTCTGAGATACAAATTGAAAATTCAGCTTTAAATTTAATTGTCTTGGGGGGGGGGGTAACTTAATTGAAGGGACCAACAACTTTACAGGAGCATGTACTCTATACAGTTTATGACAAATGTAATAATAAAAAAGGTTACTATGGCGATACTGAAAATTATGCGTAAAGGCAGTAAGCATCGTTCAATGCTTAGCAGAGGGCAATGCAACCGCTCACTGTCTGAACTGCTCGATATAATCATTCCATATTTGGAATATGCATTTCCTAATATGGTAGGATACAGATGTGCAAACCCACAAAAATTGCAGCACGCTGTAACTTATGGCGATACAGTGACAGATGTATAATGGTATCTTTTATACACAACTGTAAAAGCATATTAAGTATGGTATTGTAGACAAACTTTTGAATACATTATTATAATCTCTACTTTATTATCAGTATGCATACTGTAAACTTATTTTATTTCACAAGAGGCATTTTTTTTCATGAAAATATTTTCTGTGATCCTACGAAACTCAGTAATTTTTGTACAGTTTTGTCCTCATAAAATCATTAAACCGTGAAAATTCTTAGCAGTGAAAATGAAGTGGTTTACAGTACGTATAACATATGCTTTTAAAATTAAGAGGTTTACAGTATTTCCCCATTTATAGTGTATACTGGCAGTGTATATCCTCTATTGATATAACTTTCTTTACAGGTGTTTTGTTCACTGTTGGTGGGCGTGGTAATTTGGGAGATCCTTTTAGAAGTATTGAATGTTATGATTTGAGAGAAGATAAATGGTTCCACATCACAGAGATGAGTAGTCGCAGAAGACATGTTGGATGCACATCTGTTAATGGTGAGTTCAAATTGGTATGCTGCCCTCTAAGCCCACTATCACAGATGCATTTGTTTTAGACCATTACCATTGAGGGCAGCACAATATATGTTACCAGGTACTGTGAAAATTGATAATGTTGCTACTGAAAATGTAATTTTTACCTAAGAAATTTGTTTTTAAGGAAAACAATTATTCAGCAAATTTGGCAAAACAACAGACTCTGTAAAGATTTTTTAACCTGTTACCAATAGCATAGTACTGTTAAATACTTTATTTTAGCTGGAATTAATTTTTGCTGAAAAGACTTTTTGGGAGTTTTTTATGGATTTTTTTTTCACTGATTGTTGATGAGTTGAATGTGAAATATAGGAAAAAAGGTATATTCGCTGAATTTTATTTTCACTGATTCATCCCTTCAGCGAAAATAGTGAAAATTAATTCCGAGCGAAAATAAAGTATTTTACAGTATTTGTAGATCAGACTTATGAATTGTAGATCTGAGTACAAATACTATATTAGCTAGGCAAGTGTACCAAAGACTAAATTGACTACAAAATTCATTCACCAAGGAATGCGACTTTGGGTAAAACTTGGTTAAGGACAAGGCCTTGTTAAAGTTAAATTGTCATATTGTCTTTATGATAAGAAGACCGCCACATAGCATTGTCATGTAGTCCCAAACTGGAATATGGTCTCTGTGGCAAAATGCACTATATATGTCACTACGTATTATTTCTGATTTGCAAATTTTTTTTGTAATATTGTATTTGCATATCGTTTTGTCACTGAAACATTTTTATTTTAAAACACGCAAATCTGTGATTGGGCGATGAGCTCTGAACGGATTTTTTTTTAAAATCGCTGTTATGGTATTATAAATAAATAAACTTGCAAATGTTCAGTTATGCAAATGACCGTAACGGTAAAATTTACTTGCTCGAATTCAAACCTATTGACAAGTACATGGTTAAGACAAAAGTTGATGTGAGAACACTGTTATATAATATTTTTTTTTTGAACTACTCTAGGTAAGGTGTATGCTGTTGGTGGTCATGATGGGCGTGAACACTTGAATACCATGGAAATGTTTGATCCAGTCAAGAATATATGGACTATATTATCACCTATGAAAACATACAGGTAAGATAAACTCTCAATCTAAAATTCTGCAAAGATAGCCATAACTGATGGGTCAGCTTTTTAGAGTATTTTGTCGTCCATGGATTTGATATCAGTACACTTTGTCAATTTGTTAATGAAAGATGACAAAATGATGTGGAACCACACAACAAATATGGGGCCACATGGCAAATATGGGGACACAAAAATATGGGACCAAACGATAAATATGGGACCACATGGCAAATACGGGACCATGGGACAAATATGGGACCACGCAACAAATACAGGGCCGCACAACAAATATGGGGTAACAACAAACATTGGACCACACAACAAATACGGGACCACACAACAAATATGGGTCCACACAACAAATATGTGGTTACACAACAAACATTGGACCACACAACAAATATGGGGCCACGCGACAAATATGGGTCAACACGACAAATATGGGGCCGCACAACAAATATGGGTCCACACAACAAATATGGGGCCACACGATAAATACGGGACCACACAACAAATATGTGGTAACACAACAAACATTGGACCACACAACAAATATGGGGCTACGTGACAAATATGGGTCAACACGACAAATATGGGGCCACACAACAAATATGGGGCCACACAACAAATACGGGACCACACAACAAATATGGGTCCACACGACAAATATGTGGTAACAACAAACATTGGACCACACAACAAATATGGGGCCACGCGACAAATATGGGTCAACACGACAAATATGGGGCCACACGACAAATATGTGGTAACACAACAAACATTGGACCACACAACAAATATGGGGCCACGCAACAAATATGGGTCAACACGACAAATATGGGGCCACACAACAAATACGGGACCACACAACAAATATGACGTCACACAACAAATACGGGACCACGTGACAAATACGGGTCCACACGACAAATATGGGGCCACACGACAAATAATGTGACAGAATAAAATTACTGACTGTTTGGTGAGATCATTATCTCTGTTAATTTTTCTCGGTGCTGAACACCATGGCATTCAACAACAGTTATAGGCTCATACAATGTCCATATATTCACTGCAAATTACACTTTGGGTTTACTTGCCGTGTCTGTGTAAATCAGTGTACAATATCGGTGTGTAAATCATGCATTACTGCCAATTAAAAACCTGTGTAAATCAGTGTACAATATCAGTGTGTAATTCATGCATTACTGCCAATTAAAAACCTGTGTAAATCAGTGTACAATATCAGTGTGTAATTCATGCATTACTGCCAATTAAAAACCTGTGTAAATCAGTGTACAATATCAGTGTTGTAATTCATGCATTACTGCCAATTAAAAACCTGTGTAAATCAGTGTACAATATTGGTGTGTGATTCATGCATTACTGCCAATTAAAAGAACAACAAATAAGTCTCAATCAATTACATATACCCGTCATCATTTCTCATTTCTACAGTAACTTCAATCGATGATTTAGCAGTCTGTAAAAACTCTCTAATGAGGCATGAAGACTTTATAATTACTAAATATAAACCTATTTGCCTGGGTCTTCATTCATTAATTGACAAATGTCTTGATCTGTTTGTGTAATGCTCAAAGACGTAACTCAAACTTTCAGAGTCTTCCCTGAAACCCTTTCACTATAAGAGGACACTATAACATGCAACTAACAAGGGTCTATAAAAACAATCTAAGTAATAAAACCTAGCTATACAATCGTGACAACTAATATGGGCTAAATATCATATCTGAAACATTATTGCAGATATTGGCATTTAACCAGTGCTTTATTTAAGACATTAGGCGCAGGATCTGATCAACCTATTTAATATATGGTCATGTGACCTAATTAAAAATGCATAAACATTTTATCTGGAGGGTTATTGCAGATAGAGATGTTCAGTCTGTGCTGTTTTGAGGACATTGGTTGCATGATCGGATACATAATTGAAATGATTAATTATCATATCTGGAGCACTGTTGCAGATAGAGCTATTCAATGCATTACTTTATTTAGTGTTGTCTATTGTGATATGACTGAAGAATTTCAAAAATGGTCTTATTACAGTATTAGTGAACTAATTACTTACTCCCCAATCATGATATGAACTACTCTTAAATGTGTTACTTTATGGAAACTCAAAATTGTGTGTACATGTATGTCTGTTTATATTAATGTGTGTTCTTATAACTTGATTGCTTACTGCATCAATTGTCTCCAAACTTGATATGTATAAGCAGGGGTTTTTCTAGAAAAAAACTGCAAGAGGGAGCACTGCAATTCAGCGGTGCCACCAAGTAGGGGAGATAGGGTTCTCCCTACTAGAGTGTGGAGTTTTTGATAATTCTAAGTTAAAATGGAGCATTCTATAGCTTCCTTGGGGCAACATTTAATATCAGACAGGTCACAGTTGAAGACTGGCCACATGTGATCCCTGGTCAATCAGAATTTTATGATTGCCAAAGAATCTGCTCCCCAGGGTAAAGGGGCGCATGGCCATGGCATGAGAGCGTTGCGCCCCTGTTCCCTTGTTTAAAAAAATCCCTGTATGAAGGTGATCGAGACAACTTGTGAAATTTGTCATTTGCATATATTAATAATTAATTTTTCTGATAATTGTCTCAAGGCTGTGTTAGTCAATTTCACTTCACACTATGTTCACAAGACTCGTTGGTTTCAAATACAGTTTCAGACATAATAATTAGTTTAATTGCTTTCTTAATTGGAAATTGTACTTACAGCTGTATCTCAGAAATCACATTTTGATGACACTTTGCAATAACACACTGTGAGATATTGTTTACAGGTCTCATTAGCTTTAGATACAATACACATTTATAATTATATCAGTTAGGTTAATTAGTTGCTTTAACATATCAGGTCTCGTTTGCATATTTTAATCCCATGGAATATAATGCAGTAGTGTATTATTAATTAGTACTAAGTACTTCCTAAGTAGA